CGCCGCTCTCGCTTTGCCTGCGGCCGGCTGCGGCCGGCGGCGGGCCGGCGGGGCCGCCGGACTCGCTCTGCTGGCGCTGCACCCTGTATCGCTGCGCGGCCGGCGAGGCGCCGTGCGCGGCAGCGCCAGCCGCCGCGCCACCACAGTCGCTCTGGCGGCGATGGGTCGGCTGGCTGTGCTGCTGCTGCTGCTGCAGCTGCGGGCCGGACGGCGCCCCGCCCTCGCTTTGGCGGCGAGACGGCTGCCAGGGCTGTGACGGCGATGGAGAGGACGCGTTCGCGTGCGCGTGCGCGCCGCCGCGCCCCTGCTGGGCGCCGTAACCGCCGAAACCTCCCGTGAAGCACTGCCGCGCCCCCGCGCCCGCGCCGAACCGCGCCGCGCCGGCCGCCGCGCCCCCGCCGTGCGCGTCGGACGTGCGCCTTTGAAAGAACGGCCGCGCGGCGCCGCCCGCCGCCGCTGCCGCCGCCGCAGGGGACCAGGTCGGCGCCGACCCGACCACCGCCCGCGGCGGCGGCGCGTCGTAGCTCCGGCGCCGCGCTGCGGCTGCTGCGGCGCCGCCGCTCTGCAGCGCCGGCATGGGGACGGGGGAAGGAGCGGCCGCGCCCGCGGCGGCGGCGGCGGCCGCGGCGGCGTGGGCGTCGGAGCTCGAGCGGCGGATGCCGTGGTCTAGGGAGACTCGGCCCACCAGCTGCGTCGGGCCCATGAGGTAGGGCCGCGGCAGGGCGTGCCATCCATACTTGTACTGCCTGCAGGGCGCGTGCCAGGCGAGCGCCGGCGGCCGCCCGACAACAGGGGTGAGCGGGGCTCAAAACTCCGCCGGCGTGGCATGCGCCGAAAAGCACGGGCCCCGAGCGGCTTCACGGACCGGGGAGCGCATGCAGCAAGCAGATCTCGGCCCCATGGCCTGAAGCACCAGGCCCCGCCGCCGGATCTCTGCCCGCAGATCTCGGCGGCCAGATCTCTGCCACCGTGTCACGAGCGCACCCGGGGTGGATCTTGGTTACGTCGTGCGCGCCATCGGGCAGGAACGTACCGCAGCAGATCAGCAGGCTGCCCGCGGCGGTACGGCCCTCCACCAGGCCGTGGCTGCCGCTGGGGTCGCGCGCAGCCAGCACGCGCGCCTGGCCAGGCGGATGTTGGCGTGTGGCGCGACATTGGGACGTTAAGAGGGGGTGCACCAACCTGGCGCGTGCTGCAATGATGTAGGTGCAGCCTTGACTGCATTGTCTGTTCGGCTGCCACCGCCTCTTGCCCTGCTCCCTTGGCCCCTCACTTCCAGCTGTCTGGGTGGCAAGGCCCTCTTGAAGACCGCCCAGCCGACCTCACAACACACACACACACACACACACACACACACACACACATCCACGCGTCTGCACACATGCGGAGGCCCGCGCGACGCGCACGAGCGAGCACCTGCTTTGCGTCGTAAAGGCAGAACGCAAACTGCCCCTCCAGCCGCCCCAGGAGATCCACCCCATACTTCAAATACATCAGCCGCAGCAGCTCCGCGTCGCTCGCGTCGGCGCCCGCGTCAGCGCCGACGCGCGCGATGAGCGCGGGGCGGTTGGTCAGGTGGCTGCGGGGTGGGGCGCGCGGGCGGGGACAGGGGTTTGATGAGCAAGCTGTCATCTTGTCACATGCAGGTCAAGCCTGTCTGGGAACCCTCAACAAACAGGATTCAGTCCAGTCCAGATGCAGGGCAGTGCCGTCCAGTCCGGCAGTCCGGCTGTCCAGCAGGACGCACCCCTTCAGGATGGCGAAGCACGTGTCGGTCTGCGAGAGCGACAGCTCGGGGCCGGGGTTGATCGCGCGCACGCCGCCGCCAGGCAGGACTGCGTACGCGCTGCGCGCTGCCGCCTGCACATCGGCCTCCTCCGTCTTGTCCAGCTCAGCATGCAGCTGCTGGGTGCACCTGGGGGTGGCGAGTGGGGCCGCATGGGGGCGAGGGATTCATCACGCTGGGGATGGCAGGAGTGGGGGCGGCAGCACGCGGCAGACACAGGGGCACGCCAGCCTGGCAGGTAGCGGCTTCAGAGGTCGCTGCCGGCAGGCGGGGCGGGAGGCCCGCGCTTTCGTTCTGAGTGGCGCACACCGGCCCGCCGCTGCGTGGCGATGCTGCATCTCCCCCTCCCAGTTGGTGAGAGGGTGGGGGTTGGGGGTTTCGCGCAATGGCTCACTCGTCTCTGTGCAGGTGGCGGTCTGCGCCTAACACCACTGCCTTCGGCGGGCAGATGCATATGAAACCAGCCCGCATCTCGGCCCGCCTGCGAGGCAAGATGCAGGGGAGCCCGCTGGTGGGCATGCTGGGGCCGCGGCGCGCAGGGCGGGACGCGCAACAGGCCGGGTCGGTGATGAGAGGCTGTCTGTGTCGCCACGCCGCAGCGACAGGCGCGGCCTCATAACCTATCTCAGGTTAGAAAACTAAAGCGGAGCTCGCGCCGGCACCTGGTGCTCCGTGTTGAAGACGAGGTGCGCGAAGGCGGTGAAGAAGGCCTGGACGGCTGTGACTGCTTTTCAGAGAAAGAAACGATCAGATATACAACCTTGCATGCGTTGAGATGAGTCGCCGCCACGCCCGTGTATCAGCAAGCTTTTGCCGTCGGAGGAGATCGCCCTTTTGGATCCACCATTTGCGGCGCCTTGGGTAGCGGCCAAATGAGGCCTGAAACTATGAGCGAAATTAAGCCTCAAGATATATTGGCTCACTGCAGGCCTCCTCACGGAAGTAGGCAAACTGGGTACAGCTGTCTCTTCCCTGGAACCCTGTACATCTCGTGCTTTGACCAACGCGCACATGCTGACCCTGCACGGGCGCGCTTCTGCTACAGGATGGGCTGCGGGGTACGCAGTCGTTAACTTAATGTGAAACATTATCTCAGGCGTTTGCGCAAGCATGGCTGCAACATAAGGGGGCCGTTGCCAGCTTGCAGCTGACTCCGGACCGGGTACGTTCATTGCTGTCATCCATTCCTGCCGCCCATTTGCTCTCCCAAAGACCAGCGGCAAAGCAGCGACGCCATGCAGCTGTGTGCCGCTGCCCTCATGCATGCGAGAGTTGGCGTGCCTGCCCTCAGACCATCGACGTGTGTGCCCGTCCGCCTTGTCCGACTCAATCTGGTGTGCAGTGCGCAAGTCAATCTGCCCTTACTGGGGACCCCCACAAGCGCAGCCAGTGCAGTACTTTGCAAGACGGGCTTTTGGAGGGGCTCAGCGAGGCCATATTGATTGCGCACTGCACGCCGATTGATTCTGCCGCGACAGGAGCTGCTGCTGCGGTTCCCATCTGCTGACTGTTTTTGAAGTAGCCTGCAGCGAGCTGATGATCCCGCCCCTCACCCCTGGGCTATAAAAGACCCCGCATTACTCGTAGCTGGCTGCCACAATCCAAATGCAACGCGTTACTCGAGGAACACCTGCGTGCCCATTACGCTTGCAGCTGTTGCCAATTTCGCCCCGTCGCTGCACAGGCGGAGAGGCCAAACACATACAGAGAGTCACCATGCAACACAACCGGCGCGCCGCGCGTCCAACTGGGGGATGCAGAAATTCGTCGGGTGGGGTTGAGGGTACACAAATAACGGACGCCTTGAAGAGAGGCGGCCCGCCGCGCGGGCACAAAAGAGCGAGCACAGCGGCATTTTCTGCGGCGACGTGCTACCCGTATTGGTCACGCGCGGCGGCCGCTGCTTCGCCGCGCTTCTTCGTCGTTTCCAGCGGGCCGGGCCCCGCAGTGCGAGGGTGCACGGCCAGGGAGCGACCCGCTCCGTTTATACAACAGCTGACGCCCGCCCCGCCGCCCAGACCCACTCTCCACGCACGCGATCCCGTTGAGAGTCGGGCCGGCCGCCGCAGCACAGGCGGCCGCCGGCCCTGCTGCCGCGTTCCCACCCAGCACACGCCCCGATCTGGGAGATCTGAGATCGCCAGATCACTTGGCCTTGACCTCGGCCTTGGCCATGTACTCGATCAGGTCAACCACACGGCAGGAGTAGCCCCACTCTGCAAAAATGGTTATGATTTGTAGCAAACAGTCGTTAGGAGAAGCCAGCCGGGACCAAGGGGTGTTGAGGAGGAAAATGCAGGAGTGGTGTGCACTCCCTTCGCGGACGCGCCGGCGCGGCGGCAACGTATCAAGGCGTCGGGGGCGCCAACACCCGCAAAGCACACGCACAGCACAAAAAGCGTAGAGAGTCCTCACCGTTGTCGTACCAAGACACCAGCTGCGAGGAGGAATTGGCAGGGACAGGGTTGACAGAGTTGTGAGTGCGGGGCAGGTGGTGCCTACACGCCATGTGGGCAACAGCCAACCGATTTGTTTCGGCAGCAAGCAACGAGCACGCTCAAGACCCCCTGAACAAACCCTATGAAGCAGCCGCGCCC